TATATATACATACATATACAGTAGTGGCAGCTGCCTCGGAGGCTAGTGGCAGCTAGTGTAGGTAAAACAGTGGCAGTTGCCATGGCAACTCACTGGCAGCTATGGGAACACCTGAAGATGTAACCGGCAAGTGCCGAAGTACCGTCAGTTGCCCTCGGGAGCTGCCTCGACAGCGGCAGCTGCCACTACTGAGGCAGCTGCCTCGGTGGTGGCAGCTGGTGAGGCAGCTGCGACTAGCTGCCACAGCCACAAAATGCGCTAGCCCTCTCTCTTAATTAGATCAATTAATTACAGATCATAATTAATTGATCTCTCAATTTTTTTAATCTCTTGACAGCACTAATTAAAGCTACATTAATACACCAGCTGCAGAAAATGAATTTGCCATTATGTTACATTATATGGAGGGTTATCCACTAAAGATGATTCTAATAATTTCATTATACACAAACAAGTTCTGTGACTTATAATGATTTTGACTAATTCCATGACTTTTCCAGGTTTTCCATGACTCTTGCAAGTATAAAATTCAAACTTTAAAGCAGTCTCCTCCTTTTGTTCTTTATCTCACTAGTTTAACTTTTCCAGACCTGCAATTTCAATTAAAATTCAGGATTTGGACCTCACTCCCCACTTTTCTTAGCATGCTTTATGGAAGAGGCCTCTGAAAGCTCTGCCACATGTTTTGCATTTAAACAGTCTCTTTCCTGTATATGTGTGACTTCAACTGGAACCTCTGTGCTCAAGTGATGCACCTTTACACCTGTGTGCGTTCTCATGTGGGCTGTCAAGTTACTGGCAGATCTGAAGTGTCTCCCACATGTTTTGCAAGGATACGGCTTCTCCCCTGAATGAGTCCTCATGTGGTCTAACAAGACACTATTACGTCCAAAAGCTTTCCCACATACGTTACAAGTATGTGGCTTCTCACCTGTGTGAGTCCTCATGTGGACTAACAAGTCACCATTACGTCCAAAAGCTCTCCCACATATGTTACAACTATGTGGCTTCTCACCTGTGTGAGTCTTCATGTGGACTAACAAGTGACCATTATATCTGAAAGCTTTCCCACATACGTTACAAGTATATGGCTTCTCACCTGTGTGAGTCCTCATGTGGACTAACAAGACACCATTACGTCCGAAAGCTTTCCCACATACTTTACAAGTATACGGCTTCTCACCTGTGTGAGTCCTCATGTGGACTAACAAGACATTATTATGTCTGAAAGCTTTCCCACATACTTTACAAGTATGTGGCTTCTCACCTGTGTGGCTTTTCAGGTGTCTTTGCAATTTTGACTTGCACTCAAAAACTTTCCCACATACGTCACATTTTAAAGGCTTTTTACCTGTATTTAAGTTGATCACAGCAGAGGTGTGTGGACTGTTACTGTTAATTTCACTTTCATGATGTCTTTCCTCTGCTTGAAGCTCTGTGTTTCTAGTTGATCCTGAGTCTCCATGCTGGTATTCTTCCTCATCTTGGCTCTCAGCTACATGAGAGTTGTGAGAGAGCAGCTGGTGGTCACTG